CAATGTATGTCCACATGAGTGTGTGTGTGTGTGTGTGTGTGTGTGTGTGTGTGTGTGTGTGTGTGTGTGTGTGTGTGTGTGTGTGTGTGGACTTGTGGTGGGTCCTCTGTGGAAAACCTAGAGTGATACTAAAGGTAAACACCTGTGATAGATCACATCATAGACACATATACAGTTTTTAGTATATACATTAGCCAATAATTTGGCACGTCTACATTTAAAGAACAGCGACTGCATCTCAAATGACTTTTCATATTTTGCATATAGTGACTGGAATTACATTTTAATATGTCCTATATTGGTTTATGGTTTCATAAAACACAGAGAATAGCCACCAAAATACAGAATTAGTGTAAAACATTTTATATTACATGCATAACTTCCAATATATTTTGGATATTTAGAAATTAATAGAGTCAGTAGTTATACTGATAAACAGGAATGTCTATTTTACTAGTAATACACTTGTAAAAAAAAAAAAACATGTTCAAATTACTCACAAACGGATAGTAACAAAAAAACAATATAGAACACAAACTTTGCTGTAAATTTTGTTTCTTTAGAATACGTACTTTCCATTTTAGTCTTTCCTTTTCCTTTGTGTTTTATCAATACAGCTTTAATCCAAAGGTATTTTGATGAGGGCAGCAAAGATACTTATATAAAAAACTTACAACTGAAAACCAAAGAGTTCCACCCTTACACTTTCTCTTTACATGTTTTTATGAAACATGCATAAATTTTCATTATTCTCATTCTCAGAAAAATGTTCTCATGAGATATGCTGGTGTTGGTAGATATGGACTCTTACGATGGTCTCTTTGACTCGATTTCTGTATATTCTAGGATACTTTTTCCTGCTCCTTGTCTGTGTGTTCTCTTTCCCTTAGCTCAGAATCTCTCCATGGAGTTTGTAAACTCATTTTGGATTTTGTTCAGAACTATTGAACTGTCCGTTACTCATCGCTGTCTGTGTGTCTGTTGTATAGGTGGAGGATAGGGAGGGGAGGGGAGGGGAGGGGAGGGGAGGGCTCACCAACTATAATATGTGTTAGGATTAAAGTGCGACTTTAGACTAAGACATGTCCCAGTCTGATTTATTACCACCATATACATACACACTGTATTCATAGGTTTTAAGAGGGCCAGTTTCCCACAATGAGCCTTTACATTGGCAGAAAATATTAGAAACTCTAATCTATAGAAAGTTTCATAGATTTTTATGAGGATTTCTCAAACACCTAAAAAGAATATTTGCCACACTATTCAAGTATATCTTCTTGAGTAATAATTATTAACTGAGTAAAATAAATCAAATAAATGTGATTCTTTGGTAGTAAACTTATGGACTCTACTGTATTAAAGGCTACAAAAGAACAAAGTAGATCTCTCTAAAACAGCTTTTCCTCATTCATTATTAGTAAAAAATTTCAGCAGAACTAAGATTCTACAACAAATATGCTTTGGACTCTGAATACCTGACTTGGAACCAGCTCTACACTGTAAGGAACTGTAACGAATTTTGTTGGCCTTACTAATGCCTATTTGTGTTTCAGTACATTTAAAGACTCCTTACATTAACACACTTGATTTGTGCATGGATTCAGAATTGTTATTAGAATTAAGTGTGCTTTAACAACAGTAGGCTATGCAGTCTTTCCATGTATATAAAACATGCATGGGTCCTTTGACCTTGACCAGAATTAAGAAGCACATTATATGAGTGAATTAGAGCACATGGAAAACCTGGCACATAGGAAAGTCCAGTCAGTTGTACACCAAACTATCCAAGCTTCATCTGACTACAGGAACACACATTCAATTCAATTCAGTTTTATTTGTATAGCGCTTTTAACAATGTACATTGTCACAAAGCAGCTTTACAGAAATAAATGAATTCAAAATAAATTGTAAATATGTGAATTTATCCCTAATGAGTGAGCCAGAGGCAACGGTGGTGGGGAAAAACTCCCTGAGATGGCGATATGAGGAAGAAACCTTGAGAGGAACCAGACTCAAAAGGGAACCCATCCTCATCTGGGTGCTAACGGATAGTGCGATTATAAACAAATTCCTTCTATTAATGTGTACTACATGGACAAATAGTGAAAATGTGCAACCAGGAAATTCATCACAGTTTTCGCAAGAAATCCAGTTGGTTAAAATCTATCCACCATCCACTGTCCATTCAAATTTGTATACATTTACACACATTTGAGATGGGATACAATCCACAACCCACTCAAATCAACCTGGAATTTTTCATATGAATTTAGTGAACTGCACACTGTGGTTGGAAATCCAAGCTATTTTCAGTTTTTCTATTACCAAGCCTAACAAGAAGTTTCTGTGTTCTTATCACAGTACAAAGACATTTCATATTACTTCATATTCGTTCCTCAGGCTTCTTACCTCTCCGGGCCTGATGAAATTGTTTCACACGGTAATAGAACCATCATCAGGCCCCTCCAAAGTCTAGATTGTTCCATCAAAGCTGCTCTCCTCCGTGGTTTACTCCTAAGCTCCATGCAAGGAAAGCAACTGGACAGCACCTAGAGCATCTATGTAAGGAAACTGGCCTTACTGTTTACCCCCTCACCTACTCAGATCACTTGCTTAAGAACAGCACTAAATACTGCCTGTTCATCATATTTTTCCTCCGTAATGGATGGAACTGCTCACACACCCAAAACTCTCTTCACTTTTATTAACAAACTCTCTCAAGCTGAGTTTGGAGGAGCACATTGATGCTTTAATCAGCTTCTTTAAAGGGAAAAGTAGCAAAACATGTCAGCATCTCCATACAGTCACATACATCACAGATGTGATGCAAACAAACTCTTACTGAGCCAAGCAGGAACTTGTGTGATCGGAGTGATTTTGACCGCGGCATGATTGTTGGTGCCAGATGGGCTGGATTGAGTATTCCTATATCTGCTGAGCTTCTGGATTTTCACACACAGCAATCTCTAGAGTTTACACAGAGTGGCAAAATAAAGAAAAAAACACCCAATGAGCAGCAGTTGTGCAGACGGAAACACCTTGGAGATGTTGAGGTCAGTGGAGAACGGCCAGACTGGCTCAAACTGACAGAAAGGCTGCAGTAACTCAGATAATCACTCTGTACAATGTAAATCAATCTGTTGCACCTTGGGGCAGATGAGCTACAACAGCAGGAGATCACGTCGGGTTCCACTTCTGTCACCCAGGAACAGAAAGCTGAGGCTGCAGTGGGCACAGACTCACCACAACTGGACCGGTGAAGGCTGGAGAAACGTAACCTGGTCTGATGAATCTGAATTTCAGAGGAACACAGATGTTGGGGTCAGAATTCAGCACCAACAGCATGAATCCATGGACCCAACCTGCCTTGTGTCACCAGTCCAGGCTGGTGGAGGTGGTGTGATGGTGTGGGGAATGTTTTCTTGGCACACTTTGGGCTCGTTAATACTAATCACTCATCTCATGAATGCCACAACATATTTGAGTATTGTTGCTGATCATGTGCATCCCTTCATGGCCACAATTTACCATCTTCTAATGGCTCATCATTCCAGCATGATGATGCACCATGTCACAAAGCAAAAGTCGTCTCAAACTGGCTTCATGAACATGACGATGAGGTCAGTGCCCTTCAGTGGCCTTCCCAGTCATCGGCTCTTGAGTCCAGTAGAATCCTTTGGGACGTGGTAGAACGGGAGATTCACAGCATGAAAGTGGTCCTGAAAAATCTGCAGGAACTGGATGATGCACCATGGACCAGAATCTCAAAGGAAAATTTCTAAAATTTGTAGCATCCATGCCATGAAGAATTGAGGCTATGCTGAGAGTAAAGGGAGGCCCTACCTAGTATTAGTATAGTGTTCCTAATAAAGTGACAGACAGACGTTAATGATAAAATAAGCACAAATACAGCAACATAACTCTTGATAACTAAAGAGAGTAAACACAGAACTTAAATAGGGTAACTACTTAACAGGTGTGCATAATCACAGGAAGTGAGGCAGACAACAAAGGAAGAATTTCAAAAACTGTGAGTGAGAGTGCCCTCTGGTGGTATGGGGGGAATTGCCCATGGTGAACATGACACTGGCGTGACCTTGATTTACCCTTCAAATAATATATTCCCTTAATATACTTAACATTTTGACTAAGTATTGCAAGTACAGTAAGAAAAACATTTTTCAATTATTTGTAAATTTCTGTAAGTCCGGAACTTACAGCTGCTTCCCTGTTCATGGGTTTTTTAAACCATAAAACCAACAAAAAGTGTACAAAACTAGTCTCCACTTAAGTATGCCAGTGATTAGTATTTCACCCACAGAACAGATGTTTTATTTTTAATTTTAATGCCTCGCCACCTCTCCTGCAGCTGTGGGATTCTTCTTTGTGGAAAAAAGGACAGAGCCTCAGACTGTGCACTGATTAGCGATGTCTGAATGCAGTAATATTGGAGTATAGGTAACTCTGGTTCCTAATCTTACTTGGTATTGTCCTATGGAATGGTCAAGGCCTCTTCTGTGACTCAAGATATCATTAAAAACATGCACACAGGGTGGCGTTTGTATAAAACAGAGGTGTGTCCCAGCTAAAAACAGTTCTGAGCTTGGAGTGGATGCATTGGTTAGAAAAGGAAGAACATCCAGTTTGGATCCTCACTGACCATTAAAACCTCATGTCATGTCTGCTGAGGGACCTAATCCCTGCCAAGCCTGCTGGGCATTCTTCATCACCCAATACAATGTTACACTCATCTACAGGCCAGGTGCAAGGATGCCAAGACTGATGCTCTGTTATTGCTCCATCATATGCCCTAAGAATGTTGTTGTTGTTCTTCTTCTTATGGCTGTTCCCATTAGGGGTCGTCATAGCGGATCATTGGTCCACATATTTGATCTGGGACAGTTTTTATGCCGGATACCCTTCCAGAGGCAACCACCCCCAATTTTATCTGGGCTTGGGACTGGCACTGGGAGTGCAGTGTCGTGTGCTGGGGTCGGTTCCCTGGCCAGGAATCAAACCCAGGCCGTGTCAGTGAGAGCGCCAAGGCCTAACCACTAGTCCTCCAGGGACACTGTCATATGCCTAAAGAATACTGCCCAGAAAAAACTTTTTGCTTCAATCCTGCATAACAGCTGCCATACCCTGGGAGATCATGGATGACATCATGAGAGCACAGAGGGATAATGCCACCAGAATGTCCTGAAAAATTTTCTTCCTCAAGTCATGTGAGAATACTCTTCACTTTGTTAGGTTGTTTATTATATGTATTTGTTATGGTGTAAGCCATAGAACTGGAAATGTTGGAGAAACACCTTACTTATTTTCCATTAATTCCACTGAGTTGTTCCTTTTGTACAACATCAAGCTGCCCAATCATGAGCAAAATAATTGAGAGACTGGGACTTCTTAGTAAGTCGAAGGTTTGCAGTATATTAGGTCTCATGTTATTTCATATTCTGAAATGTCAGTGGACATTCCCAGGAAAGCAATAAAAAAAAAAGTCTTGGAAGTGTAGCAGTACCAAGGCGCACCACTAGATGGAAACCAAGCCAAAACATTAAACACTCTCTTCAAATGGACCATATTTCCCAAGACTGGCAAATAGGCTCTGGATTCCCACCAGGTGCTAGTAGTGTTCTACTTTCTCCACTACTCAGCTGTGAACTATCCAGGGCATGTTGTATAGAACTTTAAATGGACATTGTCACAAAGCATCTTTATTACTATCAACCTCACCTCAGATTATCACCCCCAAGCCAATGGCCAAAGTCTCTCTGTTGAGCTACATATGCTACTCCTGATATACAGTCAGGTCATGAATATTTGAACAGTGACACAATTTTGGTAATGTTGCCTCTGTACACCACCACAATGGATTTGAAATGAAGCAATCAAGATATGATTGAAGTGTAGACTTTCAGCTTTAATTCAATGGGTTCAACAAAAAATATTGCATTAACCGTTTAGGATTTACAGCCATTTTTTACAGAGTCTCTCCATTTTCCCAGGCTCAAAAGTAATTGGAGAAACAAATATAATTATAAATATGAAGATTATTTTAATACTTTTAAAAGGATTTTTAATCCTTTTGCTTTCACAGTAGCGCCATTTTATCAGTTTTGCAGCATCTGACTGAATCTAAGTAGAAGTAAAGCTCTATACACTTCAGAATTCATCCTGCTACTTCCATCAGCAGTCACATCATCAATAAACACCAGTGAGCCCGTTCCACTGGCAGCCATACATGCCCATGCCATAACACTGCCTCCACCATGTTTGACAGATGATGTGGTATGTTTTGGATCATGAGCCCTTCCTTCTCCATACTCTTCTCTTCCCATCATTCTGGTACAAGTCAATCGTGCATCAGAACTCATCAGGCTTTTTTTGATTTTTTTTTTTAACAAAGTCTAATCTGGCCTTTCTGTTCTTGAGTGGTACCAGTACTTTACATCTTGAGGTAAACTCTCTGTATTTACATTCATGAAGGTATCTCTTGATTGTAGACTTTGAGAATGATATGCCTACCTCCTCTAGAGTGTTCCTGACTTGGCTAGATATTATGAAGGGGTTTTTCTTCACCAAGGAAAGAATTCTGTGATCATCCACTTTAGTTGTTTTCTGTGGTCTTCCAGGCCTTTTGGTGTTACTGAGCTCGCCAGTGCATTCCTTCTTTTTAAGAATGTACCAAATTGTTGATTTGGCCACTCCTAAAGTTTCTGCTATCTCTCTGATAGGTCTGTTTTGTTTTTTCAGCCTAATGATGGCCTCCTTCGCTTGCATAAACACCTCTTTGGACCGCATAGTCAGAGTTCCCATGAACAGATACCAAATGCAAACTCAACACTTGGAATCAACTCCAGACCTTTTATCTCCTTAATTTGTCATGAAATAATGAGGAAACAGGGCACACCTGGCCTAACAAGCACAAAATTTGCTGAGATGTTCTGCCACCCTGTTAATACCTGTGTCCTCAGGTATCAGCCACCATAGTTCCCATGGAACACTAATACCACCTGATTCTCCTGCAGTAGACGAGTGGTTCAGATGGATCAAACAAGTGTGGGACAGTATACAAGGGTGCAGAAAGCTAACTCAACATTTCATTGGACTTTATCCTCCAGTGCAATGAGGTAACTTATAAGCTCGATTTGGCAGATCACTGCTGCCTATCTCCCTCATGTATCACATTTCAAGCCTGTGATGTCTGGTCCACTGTCTGAAGGGGTTTCCCCAGCATCACCCCCAGCCCCCCTAGAAATTGAAGGCCAACCTGCATACAGAGTCAAGGAAATCCTGGACTCTCAATGAAGAGAGGGTAGGCTACAAGTGGGAAGGCTACAGCCCAGAGGAGAGTTGCTGGATCCCTGTGCATGACATTCTCGATTACCTCCTCTGCAGGGATTTCCATCGTAAAAATCCTGAAAGGCCTGACGCCCATCCAAGAGCCAAAGAAGAACCCTGCATCCGAATTTAACTCTTTGGGAAGGGGAGGTGGGTGGGTGGGTGGGTGGTCGTTCTGTGATGTCAAAGCCGGAATCTGTATAAGACTCCATTCCCCAGAGTAATTCAATTAAATTCAATTTTTTTGTATAGCACTGTTTACAGTGTCACAAAGCAGCTTTACAGAAATAAATATATTCAGGATATAAATTGTAAATGTATGAATTTATCCCCAATGAACAAGTCAGAGGTGACGGTGGTGAGGAAAAACTCCCTGAGCGATATGGGGAAGAAACCTTGAGAGGAACCAGACTCAAAAGGAAACCCATCCTCACCTGGGTGATAATGAATAGTGTGATTATAAATAATTGCCTTCCCATTCACATGAAGTCCGGTTTGCTGAACCTATCTACTGTCCACTGACGGAGACCTGAGTGCAAAACTGCTTGTGGCAACCGCAGCCACAAAGCCACTACAGCAACGGCAGTCCCAAGCCATTACAGTACAGCTCCCCATATGAGATCCCCAAACCATCTCCACAGCCCCCAGGTGGCACCATCCCCAGCAGCAGGTCTCAGCAGCAGCGAGCGAACTCAACCGATGAGAACTCCAACCAGAAGTAGGGCATCAGGATGGATCAGGCAGGTCTGGAGAGCAGAAGGGGTCAGGATCACTGGTATCTCAGGAGTAGCATGTGTAGCTCGTCAGAGAGAGAGAGAGAGAGAGAGAGACAGAGAGTATCACTTACACCGCAGCCTACAAATATGGCCGAAGCCGACTACAAAACCCAGCCACGTCACATATTGACACATTCACTCTCTGATTACTGAGGCAGCACACCTGGTTCCAATTACACACACACACTATAAATAGAGACTATAGACATTCTTTCTGTGAGAAGTATCCCCTCAGCTCTGTATTTGGCATCTGGCGTACCAAGCCTTTGATTCTGTGTTTGTCCCTCTGATATTTGTGATTCTGGTTTTGCCCTTGATATCCTCTTTGTAAATCGCCTGACCTCCTGCCTGCTCTTGACAATGATTTTTTTTTGTTTTTTGCTGTTTTTGTTGGATCTGTTTGCTTGTTTCTAAATGTACCACCCACAGCTGCAGTTACATACATACAGACACAGCCATCCAAGAGGGAGAGGTTACACATCCTATTTCAATCCAAACAGCTCTAAGATAAATTTTTTCTTTGTTTCAAAAAATGATGCTCACAGAGTGCTCGACTGTAAGACACATAGTATTAGTCTGTCTAACCATGCACTTCTTAGGGGCAGTCGTGGCCTAATGATTAGAGAGTCGGATTTGTAACCCGAGGTGAACCTGAAGGTTGTGGTTTCGAGTCTCAGGTCCGGCAGGGATTGTAGGTGGGGGAGTGAATGACCAGCGTCTCCTCCACCCTCAATACCATGACTGAGGTGAGACCCTTGAGCAAGGCAACTGCTCCCCGGCACTGCCCACTGCTCCAGGTGTGTGTGTGTGTGTGTGTGTGTGTGTGTGTGTGTGTGTGTGTGTGTGTGTGTGTGTGTGTGTGTGTGTGTGTGTGTGTGTGTGTGTGTGCCTACACTTAGATGGGTTAAATGCAGAGCCCAAATTCCAAGTATGGGTCACTATACTTGGCCACACATCACTTCACTTTCTTTCCTTGGAATGGGATTTAGATAGGTGTAAACCTGCTCATAGATCTCAATTAAACATTTCTTTACTTGGTGATCCAAATTTTAAGGGAGGCAGCTACAGCAGTATTGAGAGGTAAGATCACTGCTAATGCGTGGCAAAAGGAAGACAACTTAATAGATTTGTAAAAATAAATAAATCATTTAGAAAGGCAACATAAGCGTCAAGAATCAAGTAGTGATTTAGACCAGCTAAAGAAAGCCAGACAGGAGTTGGATATGTTATTCTCATATCATCATGGAAGTAAGTTAATTCATTTCAAATTAAAAAGCAAAGGGGCCAGAGTATAGTCAAGAGTGATATAAAAAAGTTAACATTTTTGTGCAAACTGTGATTGAAGTGTAGACTTTCAGCTTTATTTTAAGAGGTTCCACAAAAATATGGCATTTACCATTTAGGAATTACAGCCATTTTCAGCAAAGTGCCTCCATTTTCAGGGGCTCAAAGGTATTTGGACAAAGTGACATAATTGTAAATATAACCATAATTTTAATACTTGGATGAAAATCCTTTGCAGTCAATGACGGCCTGAAGTCTGGAGCC